ATATTATTAATAATATCAACATTATGGTTGCTATATAATATAACCGTTTTAAAAGAGGCTTGAGACAGTATTTGTAGGGATACAAAATTCCCTTTGATATCGAGCATAAAAATCATGAAACTGTCGCAGTTATGGGTTTAGGTTACCGTTTTTCAAAAAAGGTTTCAAAATATTTTTTTAAATAAAGTTTAAGATTTAATTGTTTCATTTTGAGTTTACTTTCTGATCAAATATTATTTTAAAAAGCTGAAAAATCTAGCAAAAAGCCTGAGGAACCACAAATTTATACAAATAACTTTCACAAACCAAACGCATCCAAGCCCAACCCGGCCCCATACAGCTGACCTCTACCTGCGAGTGCATTTGTAGGCCTAGTGTGATCTTTGATGTATTTGTTATGTATAATAATTTAACTGTCTTTATATTATTATGTAAATAGTCATTAATAATCTATTGTATCCCTAATAACAGTAGAAGACGAATAGGAAACTGGTTTTCTATTGTTAAAAAATGAGACTAAAGAATAGATTGGAGCGTTTAGGCGTACATTTTAGCATCTCAAACTTGTCAAAGAACACGTTATTTCTAAGGGCACTATCGTTACAATGTACATATAACAAATTACAAACTACAGTATCTAGAACCGAAGACTGAACGAGAAAAACTAGTTATATTGGTAAAATATTTAATATCTTGGCTTTAATTTTCTGGCAGAGATTGTTTGGGTGAGGGCGATATAAATAAATCAGGCGTTGTTTACATCAGCTAGCACTATTTTTTATTCAGTGTGGAAACGGGCATGATTTAAACTTAAAGTAGGCCTAGAGTTAAACATTTAGATTCAACTGGATAATACATAAACAACTACAAAATACAAATTTAATAAAACGATAATTACTCGACACAGTAGAAAATGCACAGGACAGTTGGATACAAACAAACACACAAATTTCGCTTCAACAGTAATGTTTAAAAAGTATTAGATCGTCAAGAAATTAAGGTCGCTTTTTTTAGCTGAAAAAACCGAACAACTTATATACATCAAAACAAAACATTTATTAAAGGAATGTTGCGTCAGCGAGGTCACGTGACTAGTATCACGCTACCTGTTTCTAGAAATATCCTGTTCCTTCAAGAATGCCCTAGCATTTACTAGATATGTGTTAGTCTTGAATATATATAAGACGGTCACAACGTGACGGGGGACAGTGCAATGAGTAATTGAATGTATGCGGATAAAATATTGTTGGCCACGTGAGACGTGAACGTTTGTTACAGAGCGACTGTTGAAATTAAGTGTATCGTAAAGTTGTATTCGGAAAGAATAAACCAGCTTTATTCAAGAAAGGACTTGTGTCGCTAAAGTTTCGTCGGAACGAATTTACGGAAAATTAACTAACGAACGGAGGCGTAACAGGAAACAGTCTCCATTCTTATTCATGGTGTTTTTCCATCGTACAATCAGGTTGTTAATGCCCTGATTAAAGAAATCACTTGGTTTTGAGGCAAAAAACATGTCGATGTCCTCTTTAACACCTTCCACATTGGCATACGTTTTCCCATTAAGATTGGTGTTACAGCAAACGTAAAAGATGGTAATCTTTGGTGCCATATCTGGAGAATATGGTGGGTGGGGGAGAACTTCCCAACCCAACTCCATAATCTTGTGTTGCGTCAAACGTGCCTCGTG